TCAACACGATGAAATAGACCCAATATCACCAACATTTGGCAAAATGTTAAACCTGAATCAACTTATGAGTGAGCAACCAGAAAAATCTGGAATACGGGAAATTCTACAATGACACTGACTTGGGCTTTTGAAAAAACAAAAAAACAGAAACCTAAATGTCATGAAAAGCAGGAAAGGTGGGAGGTGTGCCCCAACATATATGAGAATCACCTGGAGCACTTGTTAACAACAAAGATTGCTGGGTCAGCCCCCAGAGTTTCTCTTTTAGTGGGTCTGGAGCAAGGCTCTAGCATTTCAAGTTCTGACAATTTCTCTAGTGATCCTGATGCTGCTGGTCAGGGGGGTCACCCTTGAGAACTCCTGCACTGGATTAAAAAAGAAATAAAAGCCTTGACAACCAAATGAAAACTTTGGTTGGATATTAGATTAAAATGAAAGTTATAAGAGACATCATTGGAAAGATTAGGAAATTTAACTATGAACTGTACAGTAGACAATGGTTTGAGTTATTTTTTTTTAAGATTTTATGTATTTATTTGACAGACAGCTAGCACAAACAGGGGGAGCAGCAGAGAGAGAGGGAGAAGCAGGCTCCCCACTGAGCAGGGAGCCTGACACCAGGTTTGATCCCAGGACCCTGGGATCATGACCTGAGAACTGAAGGCAGCTGCTTGACCAACTGAGCCACCCAGGTGCCCTGAATTAATGTTAATATTCTTAGTATTTTGTTGTTTTGTAAGAAACGGTCCTTATCTTAGGATATTCATGCTGAACTATTTAGGGCTGAAGTGTGATGGTGTCTGCAATTTATTTAAATATCTCATAAAAAATGTGTGTAGACACATGCAGACTCAGACATACAGAGAGAGCAAATGTGGCAAAATATTAACAGTGAATTTAGGTAAAGAATATATGTGTGTTCAATGTACTATTCTTTTGACTTTCCTATAGGCCTGAAAATTTTCACAGTAATAATTTTGGAGGAAATTGCTTGTTTATCTTGGCATATAATCTTTGTAAGTGTACAGTAATGACCCCAGGAATAATTTCCAAATCTGTGTTAACTTTCTTTGCCTTCTCTTCTCTGGATTCCATCAGGTGACCTATTTAAGCCTTTCGGTTAGCACTGATTGGGGTCCTTTCAAGTCAAAATGTTTTCCACAAACAGCACTTTGCTATTCAAAACAGAATAATTGAGAGTGAAAAATTATCAGTCCCTGCTACTGCAATCCCATCACTCTGTGCCTTCCTCTTTCTAAACACACACACACACACACACACACACACACACACACACACACACACACACACGGACACGGACACACACAATCCATATATACAATCCATCTTTTATTTTTAAGATTTTATTTATTTATTAGAGAGAGAGAGCATGCACATGCACAAGTGGAGGCGGGGAGGGGCAGCGGGAGAGGGAGAAGGAGACTCCAAGCTGAGCAGGGTCCCTGACACGGGACTCAGTCCAAGGACCCTGAGATCATGACCTGAGCCAAAGGCAGACACTTAACTGACTGAGCCACCCAGGCGCCCCTCCACTCCATCCTTTCATTCCTTCCTTCTATCTTTCCTTCACAAAAATGTATAAGGTCATGTTTAATTTGCATCACAACATGCCTGACTAGTAAAATATTTATTTACTCAGTTATTAGTCATGCCTTCTTTCATTACATAGCTATTTCCTGAGGTCCTACTATGTGCCTCTCAGTGCTCTTACAGATGGTGATACGGTAGGGGGAGAAGGTCTCAGCTCATGGACACTACAACCCAGTGGGGGAAGGAAGGCAATAAGTAGACAAAATTTAAGGCCAACTAATACTTTTAGATACAAATATAATGAAGGTGGTAAAGAGTAAGAAGGTTGAACTAAGAAACAGGATACCTTGGTGCTAGTACTAATTGTTCTATATTCCAGGCTTGTGAATTTTGGCAGGTCACATGACTTATGTGAGTCTTGATTTTCATGTCTAAAATAGGAGTAATAATCCTTGCCTATGTACTCCCTCATCACCTGACTATAAGGAACTCCAGCTACTGAATAGCATTTATTGTCATTGCCAAATGATAGCATATCTTGTGATGATTGTCATAATTCTTATAATAATGAGGCATCTTATAACTGTCCCACTACTGTATTAGTGAGGATTATGCAAGCTGCTGTAACAAACAAGTTCCATAATTTCAGTGGCCTAACACAATGGAAGTTTATGTCTCCCTTACTCAAATGTCCAATGCAGGGAGCCTCCTCTACATGTGATTGCTGTGGTTCTGCCATCTCCTATAAGTTCTGCCATCGGGAAAAGTAAAGGAGGCAGAGCCACTCCTCAAAAGGCTTGGTTGTGGAATGAGACACATCTCTTCCATTAACATTTCTTTCGCTAAACCACATTCATCTAACCACATCTAACTTCAAGGGAGATGAGTTGAAGTCCACCTTTGTGGTCCCAAAAGGGGAAGAAAATGTGTATTTTATTGAGCAAAAAGCAATCTCTGCTATTATGACCAAAATGGCTTTTTTCCTTCCACATTCTTACTTAATGTGGAATAATGTAATATGGTAAAGAGAAGAGAAAGGGTAATTTTACAGTCAGTTAAATACTTGTTCTGGGCTAAGTACCAGGCACAATACCATACTGATGTTTCACCTGTATAGCAAAGCACAGTACTATCACAGTGCCTGGCGCATAAAAGGCATTTCAGTATGTATTCATAGGTTAATGAATGAATGAACATCCACTAACCCAAGCCCCATGAGAGCAGAAAGTCTGATCTGTTTACTAGAGTCTCTTGGGGGCCTAGCACTGTGCTCAGCATAGAGTGGGCAATAAATATATACTAATAATTCATTTTAAAACCTAAAGTTATATTTTGTTCCCTGAATTGGGCATATGCATTTATAGCATACTCTTGGAGCAAATATTTTTATGACACATTTAGTTATGTCAGAATAATTCCAAACCATCCAGGCTTTACCTAAATACCCATGAATACTTAAATAACTGACAATTCCACAGAGCCATTATAGCTATATTTTAGTAGCAAAGAGTAATAAGCAAATCAAGTAGACAGCATCTATTTTTTAAATGGAAATCAGTAGGTGACTTTAGCTGAAAATTAAAAACAAGGGACCCTAACTTCCAAACAGCCTCCATTAATTAATTAAAGCAATGAATTTGCAAGCTCCTGGGTGACAGTGAGGTGTTCCCAGAGGCCAACATGGTTCTATAAAGGCAACACAACCAACATTAACTGCAATAACACATGTGAACTTGGGTCTTGTATGGCAATCTAGATGTAGTTAACCTCAGTGAGGAAGAGGTGTTCCTCATCAAATTTACACAAAGAAATTGTTTTTCATGATATATTCAAAGGCCAATGAATCCAGCTGAATTTGGATAGAGCAGCTTAAGTTGACCTGACATGATCAATGTACTGAAGGTAAAATTGTGAACAGTCGCAACCAATTGACTTTGGGAGAAATTCTACAATGTCCACACTTTACAGGTATTTGTATTCCCTCCCTCCTTTGTCCCTTTCCCCTCTCCCTCCCTCTCCCCTTCTATCTACACAGGATCTTGTTTTTCTTCTTTCATTACTGAAATGTCAGCACTCAAATTAAGATCTATTTCAATGACTACAACTTCCTTGAAGAAAATGTATATTTACTATTACAACCATGAAAATAAGAATTTAAATAAAAATAGGATCTAAAGATCTGTGAGTCATCATGGAGCAACAATTCAACTGAAGTCCACGCTGCAGTGATATTAGATCAGGCATGCCAACTGTATTTTAAGAACACCTAAATAGAAGAATTGCGATAATTAAAGAAATTTAACTTTTTCATTGACCATTCAGATTTTCACTGCCCTGATCCAAACAATTAATTTCTGTTAATAAATGTTCCTACCCTCAGAAAATCTGAAATGACTTTTCCCCAAACATCCCATGGCATTTCACGTGTAGGACTCCATTCTGCCACATAAAATTCTTCTCATCTTTCAAGACCAAGTTCAAATGGCATTTCTTCTTGGAAGCCTCCACTGATTTCCCTTAGGCAGAATTAGTGGCTCCTTGTTTGTTCTCCCTGTGCACCATTCATTACACAACCATTACACACACCCCACTGTATCACAGCCAATCAGGTCATTATTATTCCCACTTAAATGTAATTTACTTGAACTCAGGGACACTGCCTTATTCATCTTTGAATCTATGGATTCTCTACCATGGGTCTTGGAATTTAAAATGTAGTTAAAATGTTTGCTAAATGAATGAATGCATGCATGAATGCATTGAGCAAGTGAGCCAGACTTTCTCTGTTTACCAAACAGAAGGCCTAGGACATCATGAGCAGAATTTGTAATTAAGCCGTAAATAACAAGACGATTATCTGATAGACACAATTATTAAAAGTAGACGCTTAATGGGGGTGCAATTTGTCTTTTATAAAAAAGCTGAGGCACTAAAGAAGAAATGAAAAACCCAAAGAACCATATGTCTTTTAAAGAAATCGAATTTATAGTTTAATATCAACCTATGAAGATAACTCCCAAGTGCAAATGGCTTTAATGGCAAATTCAACCAAGGATTTATCAAAGAATAATATCAATTCTCCACAAACTTTTCCAAAATATTGACGAGGTGGGAATACTTTCCAATTTATTTTATTGCTTCCAGCATTATACTGATACCAAAACTAGGTAACTATATTACAAGGAAAGAAAACCACAGAACAATATTCCTCGTGTATATGCAAGCAAAAATCTGTAATAAAGTATTAGAGGATTGGATCCAGCAGTAAATAGCAAGTATAGGACATCATGACCAAGTAGGGTTTATCCTAGAAATGCAAGGTTGTTTCAATATTTAAAAATAAATTTAATATACCACATCAACAGATTGAGAAAAATATAATCATATCACCTGATGCAGAAAAAATGACAAAATTCAAAATTCTTTCATGATAAGACCTTTCAAAAACATAGGAATAAAAGGGAAGTTCCTCAATCTGATAAAGGTCGCCTACAGAAACCACAGCTAACATCATACTGAAAATGGTAAGACTGAGTGCTTTCCCTCCATTAGGAACAAGATGGGATATCCACTCTCACTTCTGCGATTCAATTCACATGTCTCATCTTCCTATCTGGAATGACCTATGCCCATGTATTCTAGGGACCATGTGGCATGATATCTACCAATCACTCTTGGACGTTAAAGGCAGTTACAGTCCCTGACAGCTACAGCATAGAGGCTGGGCAGATTCTCAAGGGCAGGAAGGGCTTGGGACATGTTGAGCAACACTACAATGAGTGATTCTAATGGGGTGAGGATTTTCTTTCTAACATTAACAGGAAAAGACATAACAAAATTTCTGCCCCTGAACATAATAAGTCCTTAGGCCATCTAACCATTAACATAATAAACGTTCTCTGTTTTGAGTTTTCTTTTGGTAGAATTGTCTTCTGCATCAGGCATGTCCCTGGAGATGGAGGCAGATTGTCCCCCAGAAACATGGCACATCCATAGCCCTTCACAGCATCAGATACTCATTCATTCTGTGTGCAAGACACTCTACCGGGTGCTTTAAATTCATCATTCATTTAATCCCTAGCATTAACAGATAGGTTATATTACCCCCAGTCCACAGATGAAGCAAATAAGATTTAGAAAGATGAAAAAAATGCATTCAAAAAGATAAAATTATTATAGGAAAAAGCTATGGTTGGCTTTCAGTTCTTCTGATTCAGTGCTTCTTCCATTATCACAAAGATCATTTTCAGGAATGATGAGCCAAAGAAGAATGCAAATGAGCAGTGTTTCTGTGACTCCAGGCTTTATCAAAAAGTTTTGTGTTTCATCTCATCACAAAATTTTCAAAATTAATTTTCCATTATAAATACAAAGCTTCCTCCTTGTTAATGCAAACTTTCATCTGAAAGACATTTTATGGAGCAACACATTAGCAGATTTCTTGCCCTCCTTCTCTTTTTTCTTCCTCATCCTCCACTATCATCCTCATAGCTGAGTTTATTGAGCTTCTGGGTGTAGGCACTCTGATGGACATTCCATGTGATTGTCTGATCACTTGATCCTCTAAACAACCCAGTGAGATAACTAGTATTACTCTTGCCCTTTCTTTCTTCTACAAATTGCCTATAAAATGGATATAAGCAAAATTCAAGTCTATGAGTCCTTGGTGTCATGTTTGTGTTCTCCCTGGAGCCCACTAAGTTAGTTTACAATGCAGTTCATGAAAATCCATGCCTACAGTGCTCATTCTCTCTCTCTCTCTCCCCCAGCATCCCTCAGTGCTTAAATCTATCACAGTATATGATTTGACTTGATGATTCTGATCCACTACAAGAAAGAACAGTCCTAAAAAGAACAAAATTCAGTTGCTCTGACATTTTTCCTGTATTCAAGTTGGAAATGAGTCTCTTGGGAGCTTTAAATGGCCCAGTCTTTGTCTTCTATTTTGGGGAGCCTGTCTATTGATACATATAGGCCTCCTCCATGCACCTCTCCTATTAGTGGGCCAAGAGAAGAGTTCAAAGGAAGGCAGGTGGTAGATGCTTCTGATCTTCCTGGAAACTCTATTTACCTCTCTTTGCCAGTCAGCCCTTATGCTTGGCTTCAAAGACCTTCTTTTTCAAAACTAATGAAAATTCAACCAACAAAGTCAACTCTATTGGACCAAGTCTTCTCATCTCTTCTCATCCCCAAACTACTATACCAGGGGTAGTCTCAGAAATGAGTGCCCTGTTTTCCATGTGAGGTGACAAAGCCTCCCAAACGCTTGGCATGCTACTAAAAATATCTGTTTAAATGGGATGTAGTCTCCCTGCCAGAGAAAATCAAGGAAGGGCAAAATAGAATTAGGTTTCTGAGGCTTCCTTGGTGCCATTAATGTGCTAGACTTTGTTAAAATCAACCTGCTATTGAGTGGCAGAATTGGAATTAAAATCGGGAAGCAAGGTTGAATGCCAGTATCCATATTCCCCTTTTATCTTACACACAGACACCTTAAGCTATTGAGCATGGCAATATGCTCATTGATGGTGGCCATAAAATAAAAGGGGATGTTATGAAGGGCTCCTGGGACAACTTGTTAAAATATAATCTCTTTGCTTGAGGGAATATCATTATAACCTTGGCTTTTCTTTCTTCCTGCTAGTTGAAACATGGAAATAAGGGCTGGTGCTACAGCAACAATATTGTGACCCTAAATCAAACTTGAAGATGGAAGCTGGTCTTTTGGAAATTAGAACAAAAATAAAAGAATCTTGGGCTCCCACTGTGTCACACCTGCCATAGACTGCCTATATCTGGGGTTCACATTATATGAAAGTATCTTGTTAAAGTCATTGCTATTTGGGATGTTTGTTAGTTGCAGCTGAACACAACTCCTAACTTAGGCAAACCCTTTTCTGTACTATCACTACTTTTCCTTCTAGAACTATTTGCATAAACACTATATTACTGTTTGAGGTTAGTTTTTAAGGTATTTCGTATATCTACATCCTCATTGTAAAAAAAATAAAGTGCGAAGAAAAATAATCATGCATAATTCCACTGCCCAGGGCTAAATGCAGTTGACATTTTGATGTTTTGCCTTCCAGTCATTTTTCTATCCCTATATCATAAGCATGGATGAGCTCATATATATCTTCTTCATTTGTTTTATTGCAGAAATATTTGCCTGCCATATTAAAAATTATTTTAAATATCTTTTAAATTCTACATAATATCGCAAATTCTATGAATTTGCCATAATTTATTTTGCATTCCTACCTAGTTGAATATTGACTATTTTCTGCATTTTGATGTCATAAACATTACTACAGGGAACATGTGAATGTATAAAGATACTTTGCTTATGCATTTCAGATTCTTTTTTTTTTTAAGATTTTATTTATTTATTTGAGAGAGAGACAATGAGAGATAGCATGAGAGAGAGGAGGGTCAGAGGGAGAAGAAGACTCCCTGCCGAGCAGGGAGCCTGATGCGGGACTCGATCCCGAGACTCCAGGATCATGACCTGAGCCGAAGGCAGTCGCTTAACCAACTGAGCCACCCAGGCGCCCGCATTTCAGATTCTTTCCTTTGGACAGATTCCTAACTGTATCATCATTAGGTCAAAGGATCTAAATATTTTCTAGCCTCAATGCACATGGCCAAAATGCTTTTCTGAAACATATCAGTATACATCCAGTCCACTCAGTAGTACCAAATATGGTTATGTGATCATCCTAGCTACCCTAATAGTGGAGAAATTATATTCTAGGATTGTTTTACTTTTTGAGCACTTGATTATTACTGAGGGTGAACACTCTTCATGCCCACCACCACTTGTGTTTCCTACAGTGTTTTATGCATCTTTGTATCTCCAACATCTACCATACATCCTGGATCACAGGATAAACTCAATATGGCTTCACCAGAAAGATGTGGTTATTTTTATTAACCTTGTACCTGAGACGGCTTAGAAAAATTGCTTTTGGAATTATTACCAATTAGATTATATACCATGGAGTTTTAGTGTTTGAATACTGATGATCTCAGGGAGGACTATAATAGTTACATCTAACACCGAACTTTTTCTATTTATTACACACTGTTCTAAAACTTTAAGTACATTATTTCATTAAACCTTCATAATAACCCTGTGAGGTACTTAGTATTAACCTCCCCATTTTAGCATTTAGAAGCTGAGACAGAGAGATGTTAAATCAATGGAACAAGGATTTCAACCTATGCAGTGTAATTCTAGAATGAATTTTTATTCAGATTCTCCAATGTGCATGGAAACTTTTGGGGATATCAAGAGGGGAAAATAAACATGGTCCTGGTCTTCCAAAGTTCAATCTGTTTGTGTAGACAAAATGAAACAGAGTAAATGTGGATAATAATGGTGATGGGAATAACCAATATTTACTGAGGGCCAGACACTGTCCTAAGCAGTAACTCCTTTCAAAATACGCATGCTATAGGCACTACTATTATTTTCATTTTACAGATAAGGAAACCGAAGCAGAGAGATTATGTAATTTGTCTGAGCTTACACAAGTAGTAACTGATGGAGCCAGGATTTGAATCTAGAAAGACTTCAGAGCCTACCTTCTTAACCACTTTGTACAGAACTTTCCATTGTTGCACACAAAAGGCTTGAAAATGGCACATGTCAGTGCATGCTTAACGATCAAAGAGGTAGACCTAATGTGTCCAGTGAATTCAGAAGACAACATGTTCGGAAGATATCATAAGCTGGAACAATTAGGAGTAATCCTACCATCCTTCACTATGAAATCAAAATGGCAGCTAAAGAAACATGGCAGTAGAGAAAAGGCCCAGAATGGAATCAGACAAATGTGGTTTTCAAATTCCAGCTCCACCCCTTCCTAGTGAAATGGGAATAAATACTCTTCTGTAATAAGGTCCTTATAAAGATGGTATAAATTGCTGTATATGTGGCATCTAGCAAAATTTCAAGCCTTTCGGTAAGAACACAAAAAATGAGATTTCTCTTATATAGTAGATACTGTGCATTGGCTCCCTCTTATCCTATCTTCTTGTACTGTAAGAGCATGAACACCAAAATATTTGATTTTCCAGCCTCCCAATGATATGGTCTGGGAAATGAGCAATAGGCAGATGTCTTTAGAAAACTGTCCATCCACAAATAAAAAGTGAATGCCTTGCAAGGAAAAGACCTTCCTTCTTCATCCTGCCCGGAGAGCTGAAATGATGCCAAGAGGAATAGCAGTCATTCTGAGAACATGAAGATGAAATCCTCATGCTAAAGACAGTGGAATAGAAAGAAAGAGCCTGGGTGCTTACTGACCTCTCTTTTAACCACTGTACCAGCCCTGGATTGCCTACTTCCATCCTTACTTTTACGTGAGAAAAATAAACACATGTTTAGGTCACTATTTATTGGATTTCTGTCATTTGCAGCTGAACATACGTTTATCTGACACACTTTCCTCAACATTTGCCAGTCACTTGTGTTTCCTCAGACGATGGAACACACGTATCTGAGGGTCACACTGCCCATCACCAAATGACAAACATCTACTTTTTTAGACTTAATGGTTCAACGTTCTTCATAGTTATGCCTCAGGATGTGAGGTTTAGGTGAGAAAGCATGAATCCTTCTGCCCATTAGCAGCCAGTTGGAGAGCTGGCTGGTTGTGGACTAGAATAAAAACTTGGGGTGACTTAGTCACATTTTAATCACCAGTGAGAACACAAGGCCCTACAGAACACAGGAGTATTGTATAAGTGGAAGAGAGACAGGCCAGATTCAAATTCTGGAATTGCTACACTAACAGTGACCATGAATAATTACTTTAAATGCTTGAGACCTCAGTTTTTACCTCTGTAAAATGGAGATAACTCTTACCATCTTGGGTTAGGGCTAAGATCATGTATTATCTGTAAAACAATGATCACAGTGTCTAGAAATCATAATAGGTGAACCCCCAAAATGGTTATAATGATGATTATTAAAGACAATCAGAAATAATAGTCTGAAATTCACTTAACTGCTATTCGTAAGAACCTACTGTGGGCCAGGCCCTGGGATTCTAGGAGCAAAGAAGAAAATTGTTTTCCTGTCTCCCTACTTTCCATCCACCTTCCCCCTACCATAGACCTGATATATTTTTTTTTAATTTTATTTATTTATTTAATTGAGAGAGAGAGAGAGACAGCGAGAGAGGGAACACAAGCAGTGGGAGTGGGAGAGGGAGAAGCAGGCTTCCCGCCGAGCAGGGAGCCCGATGTGGGGCTCGATCCCAGGACCCTAGGATCATGACCTGAGCCGAAGGCAGACGCTTAACGACTGAGCCACCCAGGCGCCCCTACCATAGACCTGATATTAACATGGGGAAAACAGAATGTACAAATAGACAAATCGATCAAGCAATCACC